AGCACCATGAAGTGCCAAATCAACTCCGTCTTGAACCAGAATGACCTCCATCTTGAGTTGCCACATGCCGAAGTTGACATTTCTGTCGAATTTCTCGACAACAATCTTTGTTATTGTCATCGTTGCCAAAAGATCCCAGAACCAGGCTCTGATACCAGTTTGTTAGAGCTAGCCCCAGGATATTTACCAAAGGATAATTTTGGCAACACAACAAAGACAATAAAGCGGAAAGAATAAAGCGACAAGAACAAACAAAACACCAGATATACGTGGTTCGGTCAATTGACTTTGACCTACATCCACGGAAGAAAGAGGAGCAAATTACTACTATAAAAGAGGGACACTTACAAATGCCTTAGGAAGATGTTCCTAGGCCATAAAACACCTTCAGTTTCCTAAACAAGAAGACTTCAAACCATAAGCAGGTTTTCTTGTGATGTCTGCTGTACTTCTTGTGGTGTCTGTGGTACTTCTCGTGGTGTGTCTAACTTCAAAACTCAGGCCCTTATTTATAGTTTCAAGACGAGACAACAAGTCTAATTTTCCCGATGGGACTATGAGACTTGCCAAACTAACACACTTCCATTAGTGTTCTTGTAGATTTATGAGGACTGAAGGATCATGAATTAGGGAGAAGGATTGCTTGATCATAAGGAAAGTCAAATGTGTTCTTCATGGAGTCAAATTTCATGACTGAATATACTTTCTTGGCACCATAAATCCTAAACATCAAATAATTCAATGACTGATAAGAAGATTTATAAGTTAAATCAAGCACTTGTCATGTTCTGATTTAATGGGTTAATTGATCTACTTACATGAGAGACCTAAACAACATATTCAAAATATTGATCTATATTATTAATAATATAATCATATACTTACATAAACTAACTTAAATTTTCTCTCACATCCTAAGTAGAAATAAATTTGGGTACTGTAATCTTCTTCAATGTTCAAACATAATCTTCTCAATAACAACTTTTATACTTTCAATTTCATTCATAGATAATATTTTCTTTCATGAATAATTCATCATATTTAATACTAGGGCTATTTTGATATCGAAGTTTATATCTATATGTCTATATCCATTTTGATATCATTATAATCACATATTTTTTACTTGTCACACTCCAAAGGGCTTGTCATCTAAAATTTATCTTTAAAATTATATTATCACTCCAAATGCAAAAGTAACATCTTCAGGGCTACTCTCAAATCTATTCCCTTGTGTCTTTGGCTTTCTCCTTAAGTTAAGTTTCGAGTGAAGTTTTAGGATTGTCATTGAAATCCTTCTTCATCATCAGCTTCACTTTTCTATCTCGATTGATGTGGGAGTAAGAAGAAGTAAGAGATTCAAGGGAAAAAATTGATATATGAGTCATCATATCAAATACATCATTAGCATAAAAATTTGATCCAATTGATAAATCCTCGGAAGAGCACAAGGTTAAATGTGACCCTTCTAGAATAGAAACGTCTAAAGTATCTTCATTGACATAAGCTTCATAGATGCTCAATATGTCCTACTGGACATAAGCATATAAATCACTCAATATGTCATTCATGAACAAAACATCCTCAGCGTTCAATATATCCTTCGTTGACAAAAGTATCATAGTATTTTAGTAGACATAAGAACCTAAAATATCTATTGTGTCCTTCGTAGACATAAGTATCCTAAGTACTTAACATGTTCCTCACGAATATGAGTATCTAATATGTCTAGCAATAGAATAAACATAAGTATCTAAAATATATGGTATATCTTTTATAAATTAAGCATCCCAAGTGCTTGATGTGTCCTTCGTGAACATAGGCATCTAAAGCATTTGATGCACCCTTCACGGACATAAGCACTTGAGATACTCAATGTGTTTTAGTAGGCATAAGCATCCTAAATGTCTGATGCATCCTTCACAAATATGAGCATCCCAAGCGCTCGATGTGTCCTTCATGGACATAAACATCTAAATCATCTAATATATCCTTCATGGATATAAATATCCTAAACACTAGATGTGTCCCTTATAGACAAAAGCATATAAAATATTCGATGCAACATAGTTGGCATAAACATCTAAAGCATCTAATATATCAATTGTAAACATAAGCATCCTCAATGTGTGATGCATCCTTTACAAACATACACATATGTTCGACGTGTACCTTATGAATATAACCATCCTTAATGTGTGATACATTCTACATGAACGAAAGCATCTCGTAGGTATTCTTCAAGGACCTCCTACTCGAAGCAGATAAATTAGCATGTCCTGGAGCCCTCTTACCTGAAGCTAGCATGTCGACAACCTTTAGGGCATGCCAATAATCTTTGAGCCTTTCTTGCCCAATGTGAGTATGTCAATAAGTCTAGTATGCCATCTTATCAAAAGTGGGAAGATCAATATGTTCCAAAGCTCTCTTACCTAAAGTGACCAAACCATCAATTTCCAAGTAGGCCAACAACCTTTGACTCTTCATTGCCTGATATGAGCACGCCAACATGTCCATAAAACCATTTTGCCTGATTAGCTTTGCCAAATGTGTGCAGA